TACTATAGTTTAAATCACAAAAATCCTTCAATTTTCTCTAAGTGTGAAGTTTAACATACAGATACTAAATATTTATAAATAAGTAATGTACAAAGTAGAAAAAACCTCAGAGAATTCTAAGGTGTCACAGAGGTAAAGAAAGAAACATCATTGAAAGAGTGACAGAGTTTATTTTAACCAATCTGAAAAGAGAGGTCCAGGAAAAAAAATTCCTTACAGTGAACTTATATAGCATATGTCTTCAACTTAAAAAATGTACACAGAGCACAGCGATAACCTTAGAATATTATTTGTATTTAAACTAGTCGTATATTCCATCAATCCCAGAACAGTTCTCATGCATTAGCTAAGCCAGGCAAGAATATGTAAATGGCATGGTTCCTGGTCCTTGACAAAGGGAAGAAATGACTTTTTCCCCCCATGGCAGCCACGTATATCAGGAAAATGTAAAAATTAGAGGCAAAATAAAAATACTTTTTGAAGAACAAAAATAAGTGCTGAGTTCTAGTCCCCAGACCATTCATAAAGCACTTGTAAACGCATTAAGTGATCAATAAGAGTAATTTTATCTATACATTACATGACTTTCACCTTGTGTGCTTAGTCTGAAATATAATTTCATAAGAAATTAGACCTCACTATAATGAAACAAAAGGATGACTAGCTATTTTCCACAGTGTTTTGGCCAGTACTTCTAATTTTCCAATCCCTAGTATGAAAGGCTGCTTTGAACAAAAGTTTTTTCATAATCTAATGAGTTTTAAGTAGTGCTGGCAAGGATTCCTGACTAAAAGATTAATAAACTCTGTTGGGTAACCAAAAGTAAAATGTAAATTACAGTTCACCGGGTAAAGGTGATGATGAATATGTAACTTAAAAAAATTAAACTATAAAAGCTCTTGATTAACAAATTTACTGACAGATATAGCTACGTGACTTTGGATGAATTATACCATCTCTCAGCTCTAATGTTTTCATCTACAAAATAGATTTTGCAGATAAACCTGAGAAGTGGAAAGAATGATATAAGGCTACATATACATTTTATATATTTATATAATATTTATATACTACATGATTTTATATAGAGATAATTAACATAGCATCACCAATTTTACCCATAATAAAGAACTATTTAAATGGAAAAAGAAATTAGCTAGTTTTACCTAATATGACAACATAACTTATTCAGACTCATTTTAAATTTTTGGTACTAATTTTATTTAAAGTCTAAAATATATTAATCTTCAACACATCATCAAAACTTTGGCTATCCAACCACTCAACTTGATTCTACATGTATCGTTTTATTTTTCTTTACATGGATTTTTATCTTATATCTATTGATTCATAGGAATAGCCTCAGAATATTTTGTTCTTAGAACTGTTAGTGAATTCAGAAAAAGATGAGTAACTTTATGGCGGATACATCTAAAGATTTTGCAATTATGGGAAATATTCCCTACAGTACAATTTATAAAGGAAGTTCGGAGTTAACACTTACGGGAGGTGAGAATTGTATTGAGTAGTCTTAATTAACAACTTTATTTGGCCAAGAAGTGTGATGTTAGCACTAAGGAAGGTGAGAATTGAATTCTGAAGTTTGTGAATAAACTGACTGTGTGAAGGAAGAGCAGAATGATTTGCTAAGAAGGCTTATAAGGAAGCCAATAGCTCATTCAACAGCCTTTCAGCAAAGAAACCAACTAGAGAATCTGTGAGTTAACTTGTGGAGAAAATTTTATTTCTTAGAGAAAGAAAACAGAAGACTAGCCCAAAATACAACACTAAGATTTTTGCACTATGGTAATGAATTTCCATAATTACAAAAGGAAGTATGAAATATTATAAAAAGTGTTCAAAATTACAAGGCAACAACTGAATTGACGTTAAGGAAAAAAATCGTAATAGAATGTCTTTCTCAATGAATCTTCAACTCCCTTCGAGATGTCATTTAAAATTCAATAATATAATTTGAATAGATTTTCTTCAAAATTTGTTCTAGGAACATTTGTTTACCTTTCAACTTGTTTGTCACTTAGAGGTCTCTTTGATCTAAGTAGCCCTCTATGAGTCACAACTTACTCTCAGTTCAATAACGGAATACTTAAACCACTGCTTAATCACATTAAAAATATTTTAATACTTTTGTCATAGTAAGGTTACCCTATACGCTTATTATAAGACTAACATTCTACTATATAAACTTATCGTTCTCTTCAACAAGCTCTAAAACATCCATTCAGCAGTTTATTTAAATTTCTTCCTTTAAATTCACACACATGTTTATAATCTAGGCATTACCACAACATTGTACTCTTCAAGCTTCCCTATGTTACCAAGGGTGTTCTTGTTCTTAAACTATTCAGTATTGGGGAGTAGTCACTATAAAGCTGAGACCTCTAATTTCAAACTGGATGCTCAATGGTACACACTTTCAATTGCTGAAGCGATCTCACTGCTCATGCAGTTACTAGATTACATTTTAAATGTCAATGCCATAACCCAATTCCAAAACAATTAAATTATAGTGTGTTGGCATAGTAACCCCATGACTCTTCTCTATACTTTCAGTGTGCATCTAAATCTTCACCTGCTCTTTCTGGCTAACAACCCCAACAACCATTCATGATAGAAACTTCACAAAAGAGAATAAAAATTTTATTTGACAGAGAACAGCTACAAAAAAATCTTATTCTCAGATGTGATGAAATTAAGTTTCCTCCCAATGAGAACATAAAAATTTAACAAAGTTTTAAAACCTTTAAAGAAAAAAAAAAGAAGAAAAAACTTGGCAATTTAGGATTAAGCAAATAATTAAAGTTGATAATAAAGTTAAAGGTCTTTCAAAAGAAAAACTGATAAATTAGATCCGTCAATTAAAATATGCAAAAGGTGCTGCTATAAGGATAAAAAGAAAACATAGATTTGGGAAATATACGTGAAAGAATGTCTGAAAAACACGACAGACCTTCAATATATAAAATTCAGAAAAGAAAATCACTATTAGAAATGGGTAAGAACGTGAAATCTCACCAAAGAGATAATGAATAGATGCCAAACACATGAAAAGATGTTCTATGTCTATTTTTCATAAAGGAAATGAAAAATGATGCCACAGTGAGGTATCATTACAAAGCTATAGGTTTAAATGAAATACTAATATCAAGTGCTAGTGAAGATATAGAAACACTAGATACCTCATAGTTGCTAATGGGACTATAAACTTCTCGTCAAAACATTTTGCCATTCCTTATAGAGATGTACATACAACTACACATACCTAATTATCTGGAATACAAACTCCAGAATTTATCTACAAAATGAAGACTTAAATTTGCATAAAATTTGAGTGCTCATAGTAATTTTATTTTTAAGACTAGAAATAATATATACATATATAATACAAATATATATTCCTTAATAGTTAATCAAATAAATCACTATACATGCCATGGAATATTACTTCGTAATAAAAACAATGATATGTCCATAAACGTAACAAATTAAAAGGATTTTGAGGAACTGTTAGTTTACATAAGCAAACCAAGACCAAAGGTCAGAAGAGTGTATATAGTACCGTAGTACGGTGCCATTTATATAGTATCCTCAAAATGATGAAAAGAAAAATGGAGAATACTTTCATTATTACCAGTAGTGGGGAGTCAAAGGTGACATACCTTGCCAGAAATGGAAACAGAAGGGACCACTTACAATGATGAAATATAGTTTTGTATCTTGACTATACCAATGCCAACATCTAGCTACAATTTTGTACTATATTTTGTGAGGTATAACTGTAGAGATAGCACAGTGGTAGGGCGTTTGCCTTGCGCACAGCCTGCCCGGCTGAGCCGGGTTCGATTCCTCCACCCCTCTGGGAGAGCCCGGCAAGCTACCAAGAGCATCTCGTCCGCAAGGCAAAGCCTGGCAAGCTACCCGTGACGTATTCAATATGCCAAACACAGTAACAACAAGTCTCAAAATGGTGACGTTACTGGGCCCACTCGAACAAATCGATGAACAACGGGAGGACAGTGCTGGACAGTGCTTGACAACTCTAGAGATGGTACCAAAAGGTACATAGGACCTCTATTTATTGCTTACAATACCATTAAATTCAAGTTTATTTAAAAAATAAACAGTATAATTTAAAAAACCATTTGTCAATCTGACTATATTTTTGCTTAAAATATCCAAACTTTAGTAAATTCCCAATGAAAAAATATTTCATTAATGTCAAATTGCTTCTAGAACACAACAAGAAATTTCTAAACCCCAGAAACAGTAAAAGTAAATGGCCTCCTACCCTAAGTGCCTCTCACTGAAACACTTGGAATAGAATTGCAGTACAAAAGGCAGAAGACTCCAGTTATACAGAATACTTTGGGGTTGGGTGCTGGCACCACATACCATCAGCTAAGCCTGCCAGAAGTGACCCCTGCGTGTTACACCAGAGGTCGCCACCATCAGGTGTGGCACAAAAACAAACAAAAATACTATCCTAACATAGTTCACTAATACAACATGGGCTACTTTACGCCCGGGGTGTGGTTCTGGAGTAAAACATCTGCCTCTATTTCTAGGGCCCTGTGTTCGATTTGTGCACCACATAAAAACAAAACAGAAAACCCTACTTAAAAATAAGGTATAATTAGGTGAATGACACCAATATAGAAGCCAATTTTTCTCCTCATCTGTATGTAAGATTTGATAATAAATCTGCTTTTAAGATTATATTAAGATTGGTCAATACATAAAAAAGATGTTGTTAGACATCTTTTAAACACTACAAGATGTTAGCCTATCAAAGTCATTTTAAAATGCACTAATTTTAAGCTAACTGTTAAAGCTTGGCTACAATATTGAAAGACTTCTAAATTCTCTTATACACATTCATCTTGAATGTAATAAAAGCAGTAAGCTGTGACACTTGTTTGTACTTAATTTTTTGAAATTTATATATATAAATTATAAATATATATGTATATATATATTACCTGCACACAGAGCACTGTCGCTGAGGCTGAAGAGCAGTGAACATAACAATCATAGAATAGTTTCGAGGCGGGGCCTTTATAAATTTTCGGAATTTATCACCATTCATTCGGAAGATTGAGCGCCTGGAACTCCATTCCATCAGCTGTTCTACTTTTTCAGCTAAAAGATTCTGCAATTAAACACAAGAATTTGAACTCGCACAGGGTTGAATAGTTTTATTTAATCAACAGAACTACAAGAAATTATTTTTTACTAGAAATCAATTTATCTTAAAAATCTCTTCTGGTGACTATATTCATTATTCATTGACTACTTATGCATCAAATATTCCATTTTATCTTATGATCACAAAACTAAAATTACGCTTCATGGTTCTAAAACAGACTTCCACATAAGAAAAATAGAAGACATACTTTTTCTTAATTCTCTAACAAAATACAGCTAAAAATTTAACTCACCATATAAAAAAAGCATAAGTAGCTCAAAAAAGTATAAAGATATAAAGATGGAGGTCTGGCAGGCACCTCAGGAATGGCGCAAGTTTTATTTCCTACTTTATATACCCAGTAAGCTACGTGCTCTGGGTTTGCTTTGTGCCTCATCTATTGCATTATAAGCTGATAGAGATGTCAGAAATTCAAAAACACCAGTGGCTGCAGATTGAAAAAAAAAAGTAATAAATGTCCCTCAAGAAAATCCTGCACTCTCTTTCCAAAAGACAAGGCAAGAGGAAAATAAAAAGAAGAAAAAGGATAGAATGGGGGGGGGGGCGGCGAGAGGGGAGGAAAGAGAAGAGGGGAAAGGGAGAAGGAAAGGAAGGCACAGGGAACAAAAAGGGAAGGGAGGGGTAAGGAAAAGAAGATGGCAGTGGTGCAGAAAGGGATGGAAAGGGAAAGGAGAATAAAGGAAGAGGGGACGGGAGGAAGGGTAGAGACAGACAAATTCTGGTTTCTGGAAAACATCTTGAGAAAATCACTGTGGGATTATAAAATCTACACTAAAATAAATCCCTTATGTACAGAAAACCAAACAAGCACCACGCTAATGAAAAACTGTATTCATTTCTTTCTTCTTCCTCTCTAAGGAAACTGTGAGAGGGACTCCAAGGAATGAATCATAGAGATGGGGCAAGGATGCAAGAAGAGAATGCAGAACGGTGCAGCCGAGATGAAAACAGTATAGGGGTTTCCTAAAAAGAAAATTACCATCTGATACATCAACATTACATTGGACTGGATTTTACACTAAGAGCAATGGAAATCAGGTTACCGAAGAGGTAACCAAGATATATTATCAAAAAGATAACGACAGCACCACATTCACTGCAGCATTTTTAACCAAGCAAAGATGGGGACCAAGACAAGGAAATAACTACAATGTTTATGGAAATATTACTAAGGGACGCAATTTTTTATAAATAAAATTTTATTTACCTCCCTGTCTACACACACTTGCTCACACAGGGGCCAGTGACAGGGCAGTGATGAGACAGGAAGGGAGGGAAGGAGGGAGGGAAGAAAGGGAAGCTGGCTGCCATTTGAAACAGTAGAGTGAAATAACATTAAGTGAAATAAACCTTTTACAGCAGGAGGAATAATGTGTTCCACTTACATGAGGTATCAAAATTAGCCAAACTTACAGAAGTAGAGAATGGTGGTTGTCAAGCGCTACAGGAGGGAGAGACAGGAATAGCTATTCAAAGGATATAAAGCTCAGCTCTAGATATAGCACAGCGGTAGGGTGTTTGCCTTGCGCGCAGCCAGCCTGGCCGAGCTGGGTTCGATTCCTCTGCCCCTCTCGGAGAGCCTGGCAAGCTACGGAGAGTATTCGATATGCCAAACACAGTAACAAGAAGTCTCACAATGGAGACGTTACTGGGCCCGCTCGAGCAAATCCATAAACAACGGGAGGACCTTGAGACCTTGAGACTTTGAGAGATCTGCTGTACAACACCACGTTCTAGTTAAGACAGAACACTACTCCTTTGGGGAGAGGGCAGGGCTCCTTTCAGGGACTCATACCACAAACACACGGGAAAAACACAAGGACTTTTTAAAAATAATGGATTAGTACTTTGTGATAACAGTATTACAAGTACATGCACATGTCAAAATCATCAAGATCCATACATTAAATGGGCTCAACTTTTTCACTTAGTAACTCAAGCTTGATAAAGCTTAAAAATGGAGAGAGCAACAGGTAGGCATCTTCCCTGGCAAGTGAAAAAGACTTGTATAAATGTTCTGCATCTACCAAAGGAAGAAAACAAGGAGACAATTTGAAGAGACGAAGGAAAAAAGAAAGGACTGGAGGGGTTAATATACTTGCCTTCCACATAGCCACCCCTGGGGCTGTTCCTCAGCACTGCATATGCTCCCACAAAAACACCCCAAAGTGATCTCTGAGCAGTGCCAGGAAAAGCTCAAATACTTCCACCTGGGGCCAACTCTCAGTCACCCTCCTCATCAAAAGAGAAAAAAGAGAAGGTAGGGAGAATAATGAACCTGCCCTCCCTACCCCCCCAAAAAAAAGAATTTCTGAATTGGTGATCCAAGACAAAGAAAACGTTCAGATAAGCATACCATGGCCATAACTAAAAGAATGAGAAAAAAATGTGGCTAATTACTGGGACTTAATTTTGCCTTGACATACAAGATACAAGCAGAAATGGATCCTAACCTCAAAATAAATTACATAAGCTTATATGCAACTATAGCATTAATTCTCACAAAACATAAATATTTGAGAGCTAAGTAACTTACTAAAAAGATAGTTACTTCTACCTCATAAATATATTCAAACCAGTCAAAAATTAAATAAATTTACTCACGCAAAATTTTGGCTTTATTTCTGAAAAGTAAAGTATAGGTATTTCCTGTAATGTATTTCCACATATGACCAAGTAATGTATGGTTATTATATTAAATTATATATCAAATGAAATTTACTTTAAATACTCAATTATTCACTATATATATGATACTGTTAATTCAGTTTCTAAAAGTTCTTCTGAGCCCTGAAAAAATAGCAAACTAAGAAATATATCTCACAAACTGAAAATTTATCTGCATCGTAACTTCTCCACAAAGTCCTTGCCCTCTATGTAAAAATAGAAACTCAAAATCAAGCTAGCTAATCTATTAATGAGGGCAGCGGTAATTGTTGCAATAAAGAGTAACTTTATCTGTGAGTTCCTAAAGTACCTTTAATAAGTTTTCTTAAAAATATATACCCACTTACTTTTATACACACATTTCTTTTACAATATTTTCCATTTCCTATATTTATCTTACATTTTCTTTTTAAAAGGTCGTAATTATACCAACAAGTAACTATCAAGACCCTGAATAACTGGAAAAGGTCAAACACTCTGCTTTACCTCCAAATTATTGATGCTGGCAGAAACAAAAATACTGAGTCAGAGATTAAAGCTTAGTTTTGATTTATGCTTCATATTCTGAAATGAGTAATTATTAATTTTCTGAAAGCACTGAGATCAGGATCATGAATATAAAAAAAAGTTAGATAAAACTTGTAAATCAATAGCTACTAATACACTTAGGAAATGCTTAGGATGATACTCAAAACATACCCTGAAAAATTTGAAAGAAGAGAAGCATAATTTTAAAAATGTATACATTTAACAGTAAGATATAATTCAAAAACTATACAGAGTGTCTTACCAAGTTCCAAGTACAGAATTAGGATGTAAGATTTAAATAAATATGACACAGTTTCCCACCCTTATAGATTTTATATTGATGATTTTTGTCATGGATTATAAAACTTACAAGCAAAAAGTGAAGGGCAAGTCTTGAGGAGAGGGAATGAAGACTGGACCAAAGGTGACACTCAGGTCCAGAACAAAAGCACAGTGGGTAGGGTGCTTGCTTTACAGGCAGTCAAGCTGAGTTCGACCTTTGGCACCCCATATAGTCCCCCAAGCCCACCAGGAGTGATTCCTGAGTACAGAATCAGTAATAAGCCCTGGGCACTGCAGGGTGTGACCCAAAAGCCTAACAAGGTGACATATGGACAGTGGTGGACAAAAGATATGTTTGGTGGTAGTGACTTTCAACCCATAATGCACAAAGTGACCAGTTTTTAATTAATCTCTTGCTTCAAGTACTTCTGTTTCTAGGGTCGGCACCCAAAAAGTGAAAGACACCTAAAATCATTCAAAAACATACACCTAATATTAAAATATTTTTTGAATTCTCTCATCAGTATGGAACATAAAAACAAATAAATACTGAAGGGTATACAAGTAATTATGCTAACTATATAAATAATCTTTATAAACAGAAAAAAACACCCTATCTAAGCCAAATAAAGCCCCTGCCTTTCCATCTTACTAATGTCAACATAACATCAGGAACCAATAACAGTCACATTCATTACAGAAATTATAAGAATTAAGTTTATTTTTAAGATATACACGAAAAGTCAAGAAAAAGAAAAAATGCTTAATGATTACTTCCAATGCTTTGGGTACAAAACTTGATGTTTCATTTTACAATGTGTCAGGTGCCATACCAACAGCAGCCCTTTCTACAAAAAAAGAAATCAGCTAAATTACTTGCTCATGATCAAAATAATAAGCAGAAAACTCAGGATTAAAACTCAAAGATTCAAATTCACCTTTCCTAGTATTAATCTGTGCTATTTTCTATTTTCTCCATGTAATAGTAGCAAGTATTCTATGATACATTATGTGTGTATTATATGATGTATTTTATACTCATACACATTATTTTTTAAAAAAAGATTAGGGAACCATTTAAATAAAAGTAGAATCTCTGCATTTCTCTAATTCAAATCTTTGGATCTAAAAAAGAATTCTTTCTGAAAATACATAACCTGTGCAAAAACTAAGTCACATAAATAAGTTAACGTGTACTTTCCAGTGGCTTAAATGATTTTTTTTTGCCTTTTGGGGTCACACCCAGCAATGCTCAGGGGTCACTCCTGGCTCTGCACTCAGGAATTACTCCTGGCGGTGCTTGGGGGACCATATGGGATGCCGGGGATGGAACCAGGGTTGGTCGCATGCAAGGTAAAGGCCCTACCCGCTGTGCTATCGCTCCGGCACCAGTGGCTTAAATGTTTTTTTTTTTCATTTTTTATAATTTTATTTATTGAATCACCATGAGAGTTACAAAGCTTTCA